CAAATGATCTGATTGGTTGGCATTAACCAATCAGCGAACGAGCTTTGGGCAGACTTAAGGAAGCTTCTGTGATCCACTTCACTCAAAAGTGCACAAATTTGACTACTTAAAAAATAAAGCAATTCCAAAATTGTTGCATTACTGCGATTTGTAAATTGCCTGTAGAAAATGTATTTGTGATTTATTAGCCAATGATCGTTTGGCATTGTGCATGTGATTTTGTGTTTGTATGTATATGTTCGTGCGTAAGTAGGTTCGCACACTAGTGTCATTATAGTGAAGTGTATGAGTGTGGAAACAGGTTAGTTTGATTTGGCCTCGTTAGTTAGATAGCCCACAATAAGAGGGGTATAAAACAAGAAAATCAAATTGTAAACTGAACAACAAATTTATATACATATAAATCAATTAAGGTCTTTACAAATAAAATTAATATATTTTGGTTGATACAAGGTCGTCAAAATGTTCGTAGTAGTCCTTGCAAGAATGAGTTTATGTGTACGTAGACAGGAACGTATGTGTGGATGTATGTATGTATGTATGTATGAGCATTATCGAAGGGTGGGAATGTCTTTGAAGTAATCGCTCAGTCTTAAATGTTCCTTTAGTTTATCAAGTATAAAAGAGGTGAGGGAGAAGGGTAGAGATAATAATAACGCTCGCTTGACGTTGTCAAGGGACTTGTTAATACGCTCGTCTTCTCCTCTCTGGTGACAGGCGAAATTGCCCGTCTTTTATTTTGTTTTTGGGGCTTGAAAAAGTAATTTGGGAATTCACTCCCGGATATGATTCAGACCTTTTCATTGGACGATGAACAAATTTTTGCGTCGGCTCGCGAAAAGGTCCGGGAAAGAATTTGTTTCTGAGAATTGAAGATTATTTGAATTTTGTTTTTAAATGTTTCCTAGTTTTCTATTGGCCGAAAAACATTTCGCATCAAATTGTGAAATTTTACGAGTTTTGTTTTGGATTCGTTTTTGCGTGTGTATTAAGTTTGTAAATTCAAGTCGAGTCAGTGCTTAGCATTTGAATTTTAAATCTAGATCTTGTTTTGTTCACTTTATCACTACCAGTATCTGCGAGTACACAAAATTTATTAAATTTTATATAAAACTACTTTCAGGGTATATATTATTTATAGAAAACTAACTTCAGGATATATGTATAAGCTGTGTTATGAAATGTAAAGGGATATCGTGTTTATGCTTGGGTTCCATTCCCAAGCTGCTCCATTTTATAGATGCTATATTACAAATAGCCTGTATTCCAAAATCTGAAAACCGAAGCACTACCTGTTCCAAGAATTTCGGATGAAGGATTCTCAATCTGTAATAACACAAAAACAAAATAGTCCTAAAATGTTTCAGAAATCCCGCACTGAAAAGTTTTTTTACGTAATCACGAAATCTTTTTCATAACTTAATTCTAGGCAGAAGAAAACGGAAAGTCCGGTAGCCTTGTGATCCGTACAATACAGTTTAAGCACCAGGGTTATTACACATGTGTAGCGGAGACGCCCTTGGATAGCGTTGAAGCCAAAGCGTATGTAAAAGTACTCGGTAAGTTTCGTTAAATTCCGGTTTTCAATATTTTTTATGCAGCATTCCCATTATCACGATATTCCAATATTAATTCTTAAGGCTACATTTTTCAAAAGTGTGAAGTAATTTCTCTAGAAAATGTCGGTCATTAAAATATAAAAAATATAAAAAAAAGAAAAAAAAAAAAAAAAAACAAAAGCTACTAAAACACCGGTATTTGTCTTTTTTTTTTTTTTTACGTCTGAACTATATCCAGCGGCGGGGCCTCTGGTCGGGATATTTTGAGGATTATTGAGCCGCCTCTTGTTTGCTGGTGTTCTCGGGTCCGCCTTGACTCGGGGTGGTGGCACTTGTTGGGGTCCCAGCTATGGGCGGATGGTTGGCACCCTGAACTGTGATCAGAGCGCTGTGAAGGTTTAGGAGTGGGTTTTAGTACTAGCAATACAATTTTGTAAACAAATTATTAGCAGCAATGAATTTTTGAAGAAAAAAAATATTAGCGGCAATACATTTTTTAAGGAAAAATATATTAGAGCAAGGCATTTTTGAAAAAACAATATTACCAGCAATAAAAAATCTTGGCGACATTAAATAACCCATTGAGGTTGATATGCCGTAAAACAAACCAAACCAAACCAGAAATGTGGGGCGAAAAATGGCGCCAGATTTTGAGGAGGAAATTAATGTTACATCAAAAACAATATCTAACCTTAACTCCAAATTTACTTAAAGAAGTAAAGCAAAGAAACATTTCTTCCAACTTCAACAGCTGCAACTTAAAGAGATTAAGTACTTTAAAAAGAATTAATTTAACAACATTTCAACTCATATGTGGAATGTGTGAGTCACACCTGGAAATACTAGAGACCTGAATCAAATTTAATTCCAATAAGGAAAATTTTTTGAAAGTTCACCCTTTTTGCACGCAACAAAACGGTATGTTAAAGAGACGGGTTTTTCATTGACCATTATTTTAATTACCCTCACTCACTCGGCAATGTTTTGGTGTTTTAAAAAGCTATGATTAGAATTTTAACAAAACCCAAACATGAAAAAGGATTTATACAATTTCTTTATTCTTGAGAAATGACAACAAATATATTAAACAATATTTATTTATTAAATTGTTTATTTACAAGAATAATTTTATATAAAATGAAAACCAACTAATGAAATGCAATGTTTCAGGATTATAAAAAAAACTTGTTTTCATAGTTATTTATAAAATGGTAATTAATAAATATTGTATTGTAAATGTTTTACATATTTTGAAGTTTTGCAATTTTTTAAAAAGTTTTGAATTTCTTTTCACTCTTGTTTCTTTATAAAATGGTAAATAATAAAATATAAAGCTTTATAAAAATGTAATATAATAAATATCGCTTTGTACTTGACATATTTTATAATCTTGTAAATAAACATTGCTGAGAAAGTGAAGGTAGTACAAAATAATAGCGGTGTCAAGGGAAAGCTGTCATTTTGACACACCGTTATTTTTCAGACACGAAGGTTAAACATTGCCAAGGAACTTTGGGTCTTAGAGAAGTTGATCTGTGGTGACCCAAAATCTATGAAGAGAATAAGAGATACCAAAGTAGGTGTAGCAATTAATGTCACAAGAGAGCATCAGAGGAACCTGTTGAAGTTGGGTATTAATCCTAAAGCCACTAAATGTCGAATCGTACCTCAAAGGATGTCAGTGACTACCCACAACATGTAATCAAATGATCCACCCAGATGAGCTTAGTGTGTGATCACGGGCGACAATCGGATGAGAGGAAGTTATATAAGCGCCCCATCCGAGCGGGAAAAGAGAGAATCTCTCACATCCAAGCAAGAGGATCCACGTTCGAAGAAAGCCACATACATTTACGCCGCTGTAAATTGTATAACGAATTGAAGATGCCAAAAACAAGAAGCACGGCAATTTTACTATCTTGGAAGTGTTATGACAAAGGACGGAAAACGAAAGTGTGTCGGAATAGCAAAAGATGCCTTCCAAAAGATAAATAAAGTATTAAGAAACAGGAACATTTAATTAGAAAAAAAAAGAAGAGAATGCTTAACTCTTATTTATTATTCACCCTTCTCTAAGGTAGTGAATGCTGGACAATCTCTTCACTGAATGAAGAAGAAAGTTGAGGTAATAGAAATATGGTTCTACAGAAGGATACTGAGAATATCATGGATTTAATGTGCGAGTAACGAGGAGATTTCAAGGAAACTGAAAGAATAAATGACACTTATACATAGAATCAGAAAATGACAGCTGGAATTTCTGGAAAACATAATAAGGAAAGGAGGCTTGGAGAACTTAACACTCACAGAATATACTGAAAGCAATTAGAACAGAGGGAAATTGAATAACCTACCTAACAAGCTTGTGTAAATGGGTGTCAGAAAAGGGAGTGTTAGGGATGGTTAAAAAAACAAACCTTCCAAAGATTTACAAAGGATAGAAAGTTGTGAAGAGCCATGGTCCCCCACGTCCTGATGGGACACGACCAGAAAATAGTTAGCACTCAAGGGGTTAGAGGGGAAAGCACGAGTAAAGAAGGGTGTTTGAGGAAAGGATAAAGAGAAGGACGGGGATCAAGAGCAAGGCATCAGAAGATGTCGATTGACATTACATTTGAATAAGAAGCTGTTAGAGTAGAAGAGACGGCTACATTTAACCGTTTCGACAGTGAAAGGATGGTACGCTTATATTCATACAGTTTGGGTACCAGTGAAAGTAACTCGTCAGAGCAGTTGCCATGAAAATATTTGTAGAAAAGACAGAGGGAAGCTACAGTACGTTTTTTGAGAAAATGAATATAAACAAGTTGCCAGATCAGGATTTTGTCAAAGACCTCGAGATGAACAGCGGGGGCACCATACCGTATATGTCAGCAGTATTCAATGCAAGGACGAATGGTTGATTTGTAGATTTGAAGGATAGATTCAGGCGAGAAAAATCTTCTGGCGAGGACACAGAGAACCAAAGTGTCCCTAGGCTATTCCGCTTTTGAGGCTTCTTCAAACCCCGCATTCTCACGAGGAGAGGAAAATGGAAAAATGTTAAACAATCTCAGTAAAGCCGAGGGTGATGACAAGTGTTTAAAATTAGTAAAGAGTTGTTTAGAGTCTACAATGCGTTATGACAGCATGTGTAAGAAAATGCTGATGACAGTGTTAAAAATATTATACACCTTGGCTGAAGGCATCCTAGATTTTGAGGCCTTATGCTTCAGCCTGCTAAGCCTATAGGTAAATCTGGTATTCGACACAACACATAGAAGAATTGCATTAATGCATAATCCAAGACATGATATCTTAATTCTCTGCATTGTTGGAAATTTCACGGGCCCAGCTGGTGGAAAATAAATCGTAAGAATCTACTCTCTTTTTGTCTAAACAGGTCCACCCGGAGCGGCAAGTGGCGTGTACGTTGAACAAGGAAGTATACGCCCTTTCTCG